ATTTTCGGTATTTATCTGAGACAACAGTTAGATACAGATGACAGTTTAGACCTTTCTGAACGGGCCTGGCGACATCCATGACATCCATATGAAAGTCTCGATCTAACGAGATTATTTAAGAAGATGCTATATTGTGCTTTGATTAGCCACTTTGTTTTCTACTATGTTACAAAAATGATGTTGACTCTAGCATGTACATCGGTTTCATTTTTAAAGTCTTCTAAAATCTTCTAGTGTTGTACACTGTAATTTGACAGGTTTATAAGATTCCGTTGGTGCTGGTGACTTTTCTAAGTAACGTATTGTTTTCAATCGTTTAACCCCAATCAAGGCGATAATGTCGCTAAGATATATGGAGTTACTGAGAATGAAAAAAAATACGTCGGTGCAGCGAAAGGACTTCAAAAGAACAGGGTTCAGGAAAACAGAAGATGGCGAGCAATGTTGCATTTAAATCTTTGAAGGTCGTTGGAGACAGGGAAGCAAGAAAACAGAAGGGAGCTCCACAGGCGAGTAGCGCGAGAAAATAGGCTATTAGAATAGAATTGGTGGTTAAATCGAGCTATTTCAAAAACTAATTGGTAGGACCTACTTGACAATACAGTAGAACCGTTTTCTTAATGTGGCTGGCGCGTCAAGGAGGTGAGCTCGTTAAAACAATTGCCATAAAAGTAGTTATAGAAAAGACAGAGACATTGCAGGGGCGGAGTGAAAGAAGCCTAGATGCCAGGTCAAGACCGATAACGTTGCAGATGATTCTTTGGATTTTGCCAAGAATCACGAAATATATTCTGTTATGGTAATTTACCCACGCACGCATGGATTCTTCCGGCTATAAATAGGAGCAGGTACTGCCTTTTGGAGAGGGAAGTTTCCAGCAGTCAGCTCTGACAGTCGGACCGAACATTTTTGCTGTAACACTCTCGTTTGTATATGTTTGTATTACTGTTTCTGTTAATATATTTGTTTAACTCAACTACTTTCTTTGTGTCTTTCTTTGTGGCTCTAACAAGGCCACGACACTATCGATGTCTGTTCTGTATCTCTCTCTGTTCATTATCTATCTATCTATCTATCTATCTATCTATCTATCTATCTATCTCTATTCATTATCTATATATGTGTCTCAAGGCCACAACATATAGAAAGAGTACCAGATATGGAAGCAATATTCATTGCCCGTATGAAAGATGTATTTATAAATGTACAAGATGGATTCTGTGGAGGAACATGTGTGGCATCATTTACGAGGCAGAGAAAGAAAGAGAAAGAAAAGAAGGCAGAAAGAAATGCGAGACGGATCATAGGTGATAAAACAGCCACACACATGGCCTAATAGACAATGAAAATATTGATAAGTAACAAGTGAAAAAGTGTGTCATTAGAATGACAGGGAATTTCTGAGTAAAAAAAAAAAAGAGGAAAAGAAAGAAGGAACCAGATGTGTTTTGATAACGGCTATGTTATCTAGGTGCGTAAAGGAATGGCTGGACCACCGGCCCAGGAAAAATTCAAGTGAAAAATGCTATTTCGATAAGTAACGAGAAACAGGCCACTAAAAAAGACTTTGGACAGATATGAAAATTAAAGGCCACCTACGAGTAATCGTTGACCGATTTTCTTACTTGGCCTGCGCGAATGGAATTGTGTTATCAAGAAATTTTCGCCAAAGAAAGTTCACTTGAAAACGTTAATTTTGATAATTGACAAAACACAGGTGTAGCTACGGAGTCTTAGTTAGATATGGAAAATTAAAATCCCACACAAGCAGTCTCGCTAGCTAAATTCTTTTCAACAAAACAACGTTGCCCTGCGATAATAAAATTTTGTTATCAGACACATGTACCGAAGGAAAATGAATAGAACCAGAAATGTTTTTCTTTCTTCCTTGGAGACGTCAGACTGACTGAAAACTTGGGGATAATTCTTTTCTGAGGCCATGTCGGAAAACCAACCATCTGATGAATTAGCGATAAACTACTTGACAAACGCCACGTGTTGAACAAAGAGTTTTCATATTATACGTTCATGATAACGGCGATTTGAAAGGAAGAAAAAGGAAAGAGAAGAGATAATTAATTTTTTAGTTAAGCAAGGAATTTTTTTTTCCGAAACAAAGCCGCGGATTGTTCACGCACGACTATGACATCATTGGTCAAGTGGTGATCACGTGACGCACGAAGGAGGAGGAAAGATATACAACCAAGACCTCATTGGCCGAGAGTGATCACGTGACGCACGAAGAAGGCTGTCGACGCCCCCATCCAGAGTATAAGTATGAGAAGCTGCTACGAAGAAGTGGGGAGGGCAGTTCACGCCCTCAGAAGCATGGTGAGAAAGTGGGAGGGGAAAAAAAGTTACCAAAAATGGAAAAGAGTGGAAAATCCCTAACCAGAAATAAAAGGGGTGGATATGTATTTAGAATTATCGAGGAACTCCCCGACGCCAACAGACCCAACCCGGTTTTTTCGGCGTCAATAAAAGCCAGGCCCCAACAGGCAGAAATCAGTTCGGGCCCTGGTGGCAGAGATGATAGACTAAGATAGCTGACCAAGATTCACGCAAAATTTCGGACTCCTCTTCAACCCAAGAACAATTATTTTGAAGAGCGACTTAGAACCAGACCACCGAAATAAGTTTTTTTCGACTTTCGTCCAAAGACACACCGAAACACAAATTTCTTAGAGAGCAAACAACTTGAAGCGTTAAAACTTGCCTAGCGAAAACGACGTGTCACAATCCACAGAACGGGTCGGGAGATAGATGCAGTCATATTTGTGTGTTATCACCCCCGTTGAACTCAATTTGCATTACGGCCCCAACCACTGTTTGATCTCGTCTGTCTAAGATCAATTCACAACGTGGGTAGGCAGACTGGAGATCAGTGCAGTTACCTTGGTAACCAGGCGTTGGAAGCGAGTTGGGAACGACGAGGCTGATGTCAAATCTAACCAGATTCCCACCCGAATCACCAAAAGGTTAGAACGTCACATTTGGGTACCGCGACCGATACCAAGCCAGTTGGTCGTCACAGGACGACTGACGCGACAGGCGGACGTCACGTTTGGAGCAGCGACACCCGGACGGAGCAGCGAGGAGCGAACAGCTGGCGCCGCGGCGAAGACGTCACAATTGGTGCTGTTTAGGGACGTCACAACTGGTGTCGTGACCGGGATAGGACCCTGGAACGGCCACGTCACAACTGGCGCCGTGGTAGATCAATATAGAACGTCACAGTTGGCGCTGCGACCGGGGGACGACGTCACACATGTTTTGGTATGACACAGTGAACCAACTTTCGTAGCAGTTGAGTCGATATAATCATTCGCTTTCGTGTCAGCGGAAAACGCGAGACAAAGAAAGAGCAAAGAGTTGCTCTCCTGCAGGTTAGCATCAGCCATACAGATAGATGGCGAAAAACAGTTCTCTGTGATGAATAAGAGATAGGCTAAAATTTACAAGTCATTTCTTGCCCCAGTTAACAACTGATTAGAGGCTATGTTTGAGAGCAGCTGCCAGTTTTACTTTGTAGAACAGGAGTAAGCATAAATACTGCATTGGCATTGAGAAGGTCTCTGATACAAATAAGAACCAGCGTAGGTTCGAGCATAGATCCCTGGGGCAGGCGATCTCTGCATTCATGTGAAATGTCTTAGAAGAGTGGCCGTTCTATATTTTAAGTGGTTTTGAGTTTCGAGTCTGACCGAATCTGGTCACTTTTACTTTCGATTGCAGCCCAACTTAGGATTCGGAGGCGACTTGAAATAGTGAAACGTGTCTGTTATCGTCTATTATAAAGAACCGAGTAAGGAAGTTTCCGGTAGGCATTTGCTACTACTTATATATAGGAGATTTTTTAATATGTCTGAAGTTTGACAGGTCGTCGTTTTCTCCTTTATTGATATTTGCCAAACCCGACGAATCTATCTATCTATCTATCTATCTATCTATCTATCTATCTATCTATCTATCTATCTCAGTCTGTTCAATATCTATCCATCTATCTATCTGTCTCAATGTGTTCACATCTATCTATCTATCTATCTATCTATCTATCTATCACATTCTTTCATATCTATCTATCTATCTCAGTCTGTTGATATCTATCTATCTATCTATCTATCTATCTCAGTCTGTTGATATCTATCTATCTCTCTATCTCAGACTGTTCATTATCTATCCATCTATCTATCTATCTCAATGTGTTCACATCTATCTATCTATCTATCTATCTATCTATCTATCTATCTATCTATCTATCTATCACATTCTTTTCATATCTATCTATCTATCTATCTATCTATCTATCACATTCTTTTCATATCTATCTATCTATCTATCTATCTATCTATCTATTCTCTATTTCAACTGGTTTATTTTGGTCCAAGAGAAAGTCACGTCTTTTGATATCTGTGTTAATAAATAAAATTTATATATATATATATATATATATATATATATATATATATATATATATGTTTTGTGTGTGTGTATATATTTCTCGATGCAATCAACTTGACATGCAAACACCTCAACACCATCACTTCTTAAGCACCAGCAACCCACGAGTCTATTTTGCTACACATTTCCTCTATGGAACATAGACTTAATGAATTTAAGCGCAGTACTGGATTGGCGGCAAGGTCTCATCATTTTACAATTAAAATACTTAGACGTAACCGTAAGTTCTATGCTAACAGTTTCTTTTTTCGCACTTCTCGCTTGTAGCATTCTCTTCCGGCTTCTTGCTTCCCACTCAAATTTGATCTTCAAAAAGTTAAATTCAATGTCAATCGTTATTTTCCATCTTCTTAATTCCTGTTCTTTTATTGTTCGCTCTCCTTAATAATGTTTCTTTTCCTCTCATACTCTCTAACACTCAGTAACTCACTTGCGTCTTAGTGGCTTTATTGCCTTGTTTATAGTGATCACTACCTAGACGAGTGACCTCTTGGGAATACATTATGCTGTACGATTGGATGAGCGGTAACATAATGGGCTTACGGCGATATCAATTTGAAACACCTGTTCCCGTACGATCACGCAGTTAAACAACGTTGAGCCTGGTCAATACCTAGATGGGTGACATCTTGGGAATGGAATTTACTGTAAGCTTAGATGTGCGGGTGGTGTGTCGGACATCGGCTTGGATTTGGAAATCGGACAGCTGAGTTCGAGTTCCAGTTGGGTTCGTTACATTCGCTTATTCTGTGATATAATAGGATTACGAACAGCATTTTCGTTATGAGAAGCAAATTTGAGCATCGTCGAAACTAGTCAGTATATCCACAGGTTACGTTTTGGCAATACCATGTACTATAAGTTTAAATGAACGGGTGAAATGCGTTGTAGAACTCTTGTGCAAATTAATTGAAACAAAGCGAATAATTCCGATATTATATATAAATCAAATGCACATCCAAATCTTTCTATCTCAATCTATGAACTTAAATGAACGGGTGATACATCCTTGTGTAAATGAATTGAAACAACGCTAACGCCCTTGTTTAATTATTAACTTTTATTGGACAAAACTAAATGACAGTAGTTTAAGGTGGCTTAATATTAATTATAGCAAACGTGTTCACGAATAGTTAATTCTTAATTTTGAGGAGAATTGGATAGGACGATGTAGTGCAATTCAGTGACCATCACGATGTCCAGATATGTCCTTCTTTTTTTTTTTGGTGGAGTGTACTGAAAGATCTTGTTGACTCAAATCAAAAACAATTCCTAATAATTTTTTCGGAAATTAATATAGAAATGTGTGAAAATAGGTTGTAGAACTCTTGTGCAAATTAATTGAAGCAAAACAAATAATTCCGATATTATTTAATTTTTCCGTATTTCTCCAATAAAAAATGACCCAGTGCACAATGCTAGTTCTTCGTATGTTCATTCCACGAAGTCGTTCCTTGCAGATTGACCACCGATTCTCGATTGGATTTAAATCAGGAGATTTTCCGGGACAAACCACAAGACTTTCATTTGCTCACTGCTAAGGCTTGCCAGTGTGTTCTTGTAGCGTTACAATTTTCGTACGCCTCCTTGGAGACAATGGCCGTAGGACAAGTAATCGACAATCGAGACAATAGTGTCTGGCGTGATGAAAATCTGATGCAATCACAGTAATTAATTACTTTTACAATCTCCCAAAATATGTTTCGGTTTTCAATATCAAAATGATCGATAAATCATAAAAATCAAATGCATATCTACATCTTTCTATCACAATACTTTCTTAAACTAATGTAATTAATTTTTGTTCAACTAATTAAATAAAAAAAGGAATTATCTTGCTGCATAAACTCTTGCGCAAATTATTTGAAACAAACCCAATAATTCCGTTATTATTTACTTTTCTTCATATTTTTCCAATAAAGCATGACCCAATTCCCATGTTAGTACTTCGTATGTCCATTCTACGAAGTCCTTCCTTCCAGATTGACCACCGATTCTCGATTGGATTTAATTCAAGAGAGTCTGCGGACCAGTCTAGTACTTTAATTTGCTCACTGGTAAGGCTTGCCAGTGTGTTTGTGCAGCGTTACAAATTTTCGTATACTTCCTTGGGATAACGTCCATCACAGGCAATGGCTGTAGGACAACTAATCGACAGTCGAAACAATAGTGTTTGGGCGTGATTAATCTAATACAATCACGGATAACGCAATATTTTCCAAGGCCAAACAAAATTCGTCCCACACCCCGGAAATAGATTCATATTACCGCACACCACTGCAAATGGCCTAATCTGAGGAAAAATAGAAATCGATTAAACCCTGTCATTCCTGAGTCTAAAACTGACCGTATGGTGAAAGAAAGGAAACTAAAGCGTTTTTTTTTTTTCAATTAATTTACATAAGGATGTATAATGGGCTTAAGGCTATAAAGGGTGTGTCTGGTCAGCGCCTAGATGGGTGACCGCTTGGGGATACTCTGTATTGTAAGCTTGGGTCTGTGGTTGGTGTATTGATTAATGGCATGGAATTCTTAATCGGAGAGCCGTGTTCCCGTCCCAGTTGGGTTCGTTATGTCCAGCAATTCGCGCAAATACCTTTAGGAAAAACCCTTTTCTCCCACTCGCCATGGGTTAATTAGTAAGATTTGTATCACTAAAGCGTTTCCTCTTCAAAAAAGAAATCTTACAATCTGAACATATTTTCTGGCTTTAGGGTTGATAAGCCGTAAAAAAAACGAATGACTCAATCAAAATTCGATGGTCCATTCGTGTTTGCCGAACTTGACCTCGAGCCTGTTGCGGAAAAACTTACCCTTTGACCCAAACAACGACGACAGGTCTTCCTACTTCTTCTTCGTTTTCATCATTTCGCTTCTTCTTCTTCTTCTTCTTCTTCTTCTTCTTCTTCTTCTACTCCTTCTTCTTCTTCTTCTTGGGAATACCCGGTGTTATAATCTTGCATATACGAGTAGTACGATGGATAATGGCTAGGAATTGTTAATCGAAGAACTGAGTTCCAATTCCTGTTGAGTTCTTTATCTTCACTTACACGCAAATACACTTACAAAAGGTATAAATCGACCTCTTCTCCGCTACTATGGGTTAACTAGTAAGAACTATGTCATTGAATCATTATTATCTCAAAAAATACTTTCTTACAGTGTAACAATTCTTTCTGGCTTTAAATAACTTACAAAGGGTTGACAAGCCGTAAAAAAACGAACCAATCAATCAAAATTCGATGATTCATTCGTGTTTGCCCAAATCACTTCCAACTTTTTGCCGAAACCAATCCCTTGACAAAACTTTTTCTTCTTCTTCTTCTAGTTGTTATTCTCATTCGTCTTCTTTATCTTCTCTTCTTCTCCTCCTCCTTTTTCTTTTTCTTCTTCTTCCACTTCTTTTAATTCTTCTTCTTCTTTTAATTTTTCTTCTTCTTCTTCTTCTGCTAATTCTCCTCCTCCGCCTTTTTCTTCTTCTTCTTCTTTCTAATTCTAATTCTCCTCCTCCTCCTTCTTCTTCTTCTCCTCTTCCTTCTTCTTTTTCTTCTTCTTCTTCTTCTTCTTCTTCTTCTTCTTTCTAATTCTAATTCTCCTCCTCCTCCTTCTTCTTCTTCTCCTCTTCCTTCTTCTTTTTTTTTCTTCTTCTTCTTCTTCTTCTTTCTAATTCTCCTCCTCCTCCTTCTTCTTCTTCTCCTCTTCCTTCTTCTTTTTCTTCTTCTTCTTCTTCTTTCTAATTCCTAATTCTCCTCCTCCTCCTTCTTCTTCTTCTCCTCTTCCTTCTTCTTTTTTCTTCTTCTTCTTCTTCTTCTTTCTAATTCTAATTCTCCTCCTCCTCCTTCTTCTTCTCCTCCTCTTCCTTCTTCTTTTCTTCTTCTACTTCTTCTTCTTCTTCTTCTTATTCTTTTCTTCTTCTTCTTTCTAATTCTAATTCTCCTCCTCCTCCTTCTTCTTCTTTCTCTTCTTCCTTCTTCTTTTCTTCTTCTTCTTCTTCTTCTTCTTCTTTCTAATTCTAATTCTCCTCCTCCTCCTTCTTCTTCTTCTCTCTTCCTTCTTCTTTTTTTTTCTTCTTCTTCTTCTTCTTTCTAATTCTAATTCTCCTCCTCCTCCTTCTTCTTCTTCTCCTCTTCCTTCTTTCTTTTTTCTTCTTCTTCTTCTTCTTTCTAATTCTAATTCTCCTCCTCCTCCTTCTTCTTCTTCTCCTCTTCCTTCTTCTTTTTCTTCTTCTTCTTCTTCTTCTTCTTTCTAATTCTAATTCTCCTCCTCCTCCTTCTTCTTCTCCTCCTCTTCCTTCTTCTTTTTCTTCTTCTACTTCTTCTTCTTCTTCTTCTTATTCTTTTCTTCTTCTTCTTTCTAATTCTAATTCTCCTCCTCCTCCTTCTTCTTCTTCTCCTCTTCCTTCTTCTTTTTCTTCTTCTTCTTCTTCTTCTGCTCCTCCTTCACTTCCTTCTTTTCTTCTTACTCTTATTCTTTTAATTATTTTTTCTTCTTCTTCTTTTTCTTATACTCCTACTTGTTCTTCTTCTTCTTCTTCTTTTTTTTCTTCTTCTTCTTCTAATTTTCCTCCTCCTCCTACGCCTCCTCCTCCTACGCCTCCTCCTCCTCCTCCTTATTCTTCTTTTTCTAATTGTTGTTCTCATTCTTCTTCTACATCTTCTCTTCTTCTCCTCGGTCTTCTTCTTCGCCCTCTTCTTCATCTTCACCTTCTTCCAATTCTTCTTCTTCTTCTTTCTCCACCACAGTTTCACATACTAATCTAACAATCTCATCGGAGCACTTTGTGACCGGTTCGTCTTAAACAGTCTTCAAAAACCGAACGGAATTGGTGGATGGCTCGTATTTTCGCCGCCCTGGTTTACAAACGGTGTCCAGGAGAAAATAGACTTTTGAGTAACGACAAATCCAACGTTGAGACAAATCTTTAAGAATAATTGCCGTTGTTGTCGGGACGCTTTATAAGGAATTAGTTTGAGAGTGTACAGGCATTACTGGATAGCTACCAGCTCGGTGTCAGATCAAAACTCTCCGCCGTGTAGATCACTGCGTGGATTTGTGTAATACCTGAAAGCTTATAGGACACTAGAACAACCAAACATTAGGTTATATGCATCTAAGGAAATCAATATACCCCGTGGATATCGCAGTATTTAACTATATTCTAATTCTTGAATACGGATGCCGTAATAAAGAAATACGAAGCGCGTATTGTCACAGTATTGATATCTTTCTTTTTAATTACCGTATTTTTCGGCTTACTAGACGTTGCGTCATGGAAGACGCACCCTAATATTGGAAAGAAATTTCTAAGTAAAAAAAAAAGTCATTCTGATAGAAAAACACATTCACCATGCATCCCTAACATACTGGCGCCATGTATAGTTTACATTAATCCCTCGTCCGATATTTTGTATGGCAATGACATACTAGTGAACAGCAGAAAGGCTCCCACCGCTGCTAGTAGGCAGAGCATGTTTAAGTTTCTGGCTCGGCTCCAGGAAGGATTATAGTCTTGGAAATACTTGTAAGAGCTAAGTACTTAGGTTACATTCTATAAAAGGCTTAATTAGATAGATAGCTAACATTATAGTTTAATGACAATATACAAATCCACGTCCCTATCAGTCAAGCCAATTAGGTG